GTCCTCCCAGACAGGCGACCTGCCTTGTGGTCCCCCGAGAAGCCACCCTCCACACCCAGGGACGGAGCGCTTTTAAGTGTCACACGATGGACGGAGGCGCTGTGCCCACCCTCACGGAGGCCGCTCTCCCGCCAGCCGCGCCGGCCTCCCTCCCTCAGCCGCCCTGACAGCTGCCCTGCCCGTTTCCCACGATACATCTGTCCTCGCCAGTCTCCCCAGACCCTTCTGAGGACGCTCACCCCACGCTGCCACACGTGGGCTCCTGGGCAAGGAGCCAGGCTCCCCGGGATCCCGGGCCACGCAGTGTTAAGGCAACAGAGGAGACCAGTCTGAAGACCACACTAGCTCCACCCCAGGGCTGGTGCTGAGACGCTGGTGAGTCTGCCAGCCCTTCTAGTGGGCCCACCCAGCCCCGCCAGCCGCCAGTGGGGAGGGACAGCTGGCGGGTGGGGCAGATGCTGAGGGTGGTTTGCCTTGGAGGGGGGGGAGCAGCCCTGGGCACAGAGACGCAGAGGTGCAGAACAGTGCTGTAGGCACCCCTGCCCCTTCGCCAGAGGCAGCCCCTGGGGGTGGGGGTGGGGATGGCCCCGCCCCTGCGGGCAGGATCCACTTCCTGTATTTCTTAGGTGCAGACCTGGGTGTGGACCCAGCTCACCCGTCAGTGTCCCAGGCAAACTCCCCGACCCAGGGGGTTCTGCCTGCAGGCGAGGGCCTGGCATGGGCCCTGCGGGGCCTCCTCTCTGAGGAGGGACCTGAACCGGCGTCTGCCCGTGAAGAGGTGTCCGTGTTCCAAGTACCTGCAGTCTCACTATTAGCGTCTTGGGGTGAGTCTCACCCCAGAAGTGAAAACTTAAATCTCAAATAACCCGCCTCCCTCCCCCCCAAAAAAGAAAGAAGAAAAGAAAAGGCCACAGTTCTAGCCCATGCCCACGCAACGCTGTGACCTGGACGGGCACCGCTTCTCACCCAGGCAGGAGACCCAATTTTCTGTGCCAAAGGTCGTGGCGTGAACACCAGGGTGGGGGGAGGCCGCAGCCTGTCCTGGCACCCAACATCCAGCCCTGCAAGACTTGGGGCTCCCCGTTCTCAGAGGACGGCCCGCTGCTGGGACGCAGGCCAGTGGCAGGAGCCTGAGCACACCCCTAGAGCTTGGGCACCTGGAGGGCTGGGGGCGGGGGGGCACAGAGTCTGTTCTGCCCAAGGCCCAGCCCTCCCAGGGGCCACCAGCCATGGGGACTGGGCTCCACAGCACCCCTAGGGAGAAGGGGGACAGCTCCCAGCGAGGCCAGGTCAGCCAGTTTCTACACACACACACACACACATGCTGTCCTGACAAGCAACCTCTCTCCTGGGGCTGGGTCCCCAGGTCTGAGGGGGGACGGGCCAGGCCGCTCCCCCAGCTGGGGTTGGCTTGAGGCAGTACGGGCACCCCCAGAGCTGGGTGCCCCTGAGCAGTCGGAGTCAGGCTGGGGTCCTGTGGGGCTCTGCTCAGCTCTGGGGGTGTCCCCAGCACCCAGCGGGTGTGCGGGCTGAGTGGCATGATGGCACTCACCACTGGTGGGTGATGAGTCAGGTGTGCTGCGACCTCCCAGAATTCCCTGGGGCTTTGTCCCACGGGCTGAGGCCCTCGCTCTGTCTGCGAGCCCCAGCAGCCGGGGCAGGGCCGGGCGCCCCGGCTCCGCCGTCAGCTGTCCACGTAGACAAAGAGGATGTCCTCGTCCGTGCCGTAGCTGGTCCTGGCCTCCTCGAAGTTACTGACGCTGGTGCTGCACATGCCTGCGGAGGCGGCAGGGCGGTCGGCGGCGGGGGCACCTGC